TGTTACGAGAAGTAATCGAAACGCTAGAATTATGTATCCAGTGCAGATTTTAAGAAGACTAATGGGATGAACAGCCGTTTTAAAGAACTTGGCATACCATGTGTCCGTGTTGTAATTGATAACATTGATAATCTGGCAGCTCTAATACGTCAGCTGATAGGACCTAATTATCGTGGTCGGCCGCAACTGGCCCATTCTGCCGGCGACATCAGTTTGTTCTAAGCACTGGTGAAGGGCGGTGCCTGCATCTTCTACAGCGATAAGATCGTTGTAGAGCTGTGTCTGTACGGCAACGCTGTTATAATTTTCAATAAGTATGTTCAGTGAACTGGTATTCAATACTTTCACTTGTGTCGTTGCTGCCTTTGTCTTTTTATTCTGTCTAGAATCTTCAGTCTTTTCTTTAACATCCCTTGTCGTGAAATATAATAATGATAAGTTACGTTATATAAAACAGACATAAATAAACCATAGACAAAGCCAGCAACGAGACAACAGATCGTATTGAATACATACGTATTGAAGTATGTATTTACAATACATACTTATTCAAACTTATAACAGACTTGCCGTATAGACGACACAAAGCGCTTCAATGATCACCTCGCTAAAGAAGATACACGCAGAGCCCCTCACCAGCGCTCGGAACAGACTGAAGGCGCCGGCTCACCGGCCGGCTTCCGATCGCTGTTGAGAATTAGAGCTGCCAGATTTCCAATGGAAGCAAGCACAGTTCCCGAATGTTCTGTTACGAGAAGTAATCGAAACGCTAGAATTATGTATCCAGTGTAGATTTTAAGAAAACTTGTGGGCTGAACAGCCGTTTTTAAAGAACTTGGCATACCATGTGTCCGTGTTGTAATTGATAACATTGATAATCTGGCAGTTCTAATACGTCAGCTGATAGGACCTAATTATCGTGGTCGGCCGCATCTGGCCCATTCTGCCGGCGACTTCAGTTTGTTCTAAGCACTGGTGAAGAGCGGTGCGTGCATCTTCTACAGCGATGTGATCGTTGTAGCGCTGTGTGTCGTCTGTACGGCAAGGCTGTTATAATTTTCAATAAGTATGTTCAGTGAACTGGTATTCAATACTTTCACTTGTGTCGTTGCTGCCTTTGTCTTTTTATTCTGTCTAGAATCTTCAGTCTTTTCTTTAACATCCCTTGTCGTGAAATATAATAATGATAAGTTACGTTATATAAAACCGACATAAACCAAAGACAAAGCCAGCAACGAGACAACAGAACGTATTGAATTTCAGTTTACAATACATACTTATTCAAACTTATAACAGACTTGCCGTATAGACGACACAAAGCGCTTCAATGATCACCTCGCTGTAGAAGATACACGCAGCGCCCCTCACCAGCGCTCGGAGCAGACTGAAGGCGCCGGCTCACCGGCCGGCTTCCGATCGCGGTTGAGAATTAGAGCTGCTAGATTTTCAATGGAAGCAAGCACAGTTCCCGAATGTTCTGTAACGAGAAGTGATCGAGAGGCTAGAATTATGTATCCAGTGCAGATTTTAAGAAAACTTATGGGCTGAACAGCCGTTTTTAAAGAATTTGGCATACCATGTGTTCGTGTTGTAATTGATAACATTGATAATCTGGCAGCTCTGATACGTCAGCTGATAGGACCTAATTATTGTGGTCGGCCGCAACTGGCCCATTCTGCCGGCGACTTCAGTTTGTTCTGAGCACTGGTGAGGGGCACTGCGTGTATCTTCTACAGCGAGGTGAATTTATTTTGTATCCGATTTTTTACAATACATACTTATTCAAACTTATAACAGACTTGCCGTACAGACGACACAAAACGCTCAATGATCACCTCGCTGTAGAAGATACACGCAGTGCCCCTCACCAGTGCTCAGAACAAACTGAATTCGCCGGCAGAATGGGCCAGTTGTGGCCGACCACGATAATTAGGTCCTATCAGCTGACGTATTAGAGCTGCCAGATTATCAATGTTATCAATTACAACACGGACACATGGTATGCCAAGTTCTTTAAAAACGGCTGTTCAGCCCATTAGTCTTCTTAAAATCTGCACTGGATACATAATTCTAGCGTTTGGATTACTTCTCGTAACAGAACATTCGGGAACTGTGCTTGCTTCCATTGGAAATCTGGCGACTCTAATTCTCAACCGCGATCGGTAGCCGGCCGGTCAGCCGGCGCCTTCAGTCTGTTCCGAGCGCTGGTGAGGGGTGCTGCGTGTATCTTCTACAGCGAGGTGATCATTGAAGCGCTTTGTGTCGTCTATACGGCAAGTCTGTTATAAGTTTGAATAAGTATGTATTGTAAACTGATATTCAATACGTTCTGTTGTCTCGTTGCTGGCTTTGTCTTTGGTTTATCTATGTCGGTTTTATATAACGTAACTTATCATTATTATATTTCACGACAAGGGATGTTAAAGAAAAGACTGAAGATTCTAGACAGAATAAAAAGACAAAGGCAGCAACGACACAAGTGAAAGTATTGAATACCAGTTCACTGAACATACTTATTCAAAATTATAACAGCCTTGCCGTACAGACGACACACAGCGCTACAACGATCACATCGCTGTAAAGATGCTTGCACCGCCCTTCACCAGTGTTTAGAACAAACTGAAGTCGCCGGCAGAATGGGCCAGTTGCGGCCGACCACGATAATTAGGTCCTATCAGCTGACGTATTAGAGCTGCCAGATTATCAATGTTATCAATTACAACACGGACACATGGTATGCCAAATTCTTTAAAAACGGCTGTTCAGTCTTCTTTAAATCTGCACTGGATACATAATTCTAGCGTTTCGATTACTTCTCGTAACAGAACATTCGGGAACTGTGCTTGCTTCCATTGGAAATCTGGCAGCTCTAATTCTCAACAGCGATCGGCAGCCGGCCGGTGAGGCGGCGCCTTCAGTCTGTTCCGAGCGCTGGTGAGGGGCGCTGTGTGTATCTTCTACAGCGAGGTGATCATTGAAGCGCTTTGTGTCGTCTATACGGCAAGTCTGTTATAAGTTTGAATAAGTATGTATTGTAAACTGATATTCAATACGTTCTGTTGTCTCGTTGCTGGCTTTGTCTTTGGTTTATCTATGTCGGTTTTATATAACGTAACTTATCATTATTATATTTCACGACAAGGGATGTTAAAGAAAAGACTGAAGATTCTAGACAGAATAAAAAGACAAAGGCAGCAACGACACAAGTGAAAGTATTGAATACCAGTTCACTGAACATATTCAAAATTATAGCAGCCTTGCCGTACAGACGACACACAGCGCTACAACGATCACATCGCTGTAAAGATGCACGCACCGCCCTTCACCAGTGCTTAGAACAAACTGAAGTCGCCGGCCAGTTGCGGCCGACCACGATAATTAGGTCCTATCAGCTGACGTATTAGAGCTGCCAGATTATCAATGTTATCAATTACAACACGGACACATGGTATGCCAAGTTCTTTAAAAACGGCTGTTCAGCCCATTAGTCTTCTTAAAATCTGCACTGGATACATAATTCTAGCGTTTGGATTACTTCTCGTAACAGAACATTCGGGAACTGTGCTTGCTTCCATTGGAAATCTGGCAGCTCTAATTCTCAACCGCGATCGGTAGCCGGCCGGTCAGCCGGCGCCTTCAGTCTGTTCCGAGCGCTGGTGAGGGGTGCTGCGCGTATCTTCTACAGGGAGGTGATCATCGCAGCACTTTGTGTCGTCTGTACGGCAATGGTGTTCTGTTATAATTTTGAATAAGTGTGTATTGTAAACTGATATTCAATACGTTCACTTGTCTCGTTGCTGGCTTTTTCTTTGGTTTCTTTATGTCGGTTTTATATAACGTAACTTATCATTATCATATTTCACGACACGGGATGTTAAAGAAAAGACAAAAACGGCTGTTCAGTTCATCAGACTTCTTAAAATTTGCACTGGATACATTATCCTAGCGTCTCAATTACTTCTCGGAACAGAACATTTGGGAACTGTGCTTGTTTCCATTCGAAATCTGGCAGCTCTAATTCTCAACCGCGATCGGCAGCCGACCGGTTAGGCACGGGATGTTAAAGAAAAGACTGAATATTCAAATATTCTAGTGCAATGATTGTTACCATTGTTTTTAAAATCTAACAATCATTGCATTAGAACATTTGAATATTCAGTCTTCTTTAAGGTCCCATGTCGTGAAATATAATATTGCCACCACACGCAGCGAAATCTCAAATCGGTTTTCAGATATTGACAAACTCGGACGCTCCAATATTAGATAATGTTAGCTGTTCTCCAAAGCCAATGCAGATATTTAGGACGAATATTCGAAACACCAGGTGCTTTTTATTTATGGTACCTTTGGAAAGCACTGCGGCTTTCTTCCTCAGCCTAGACAGTTAGACACACATAGAATCAAATCAAAATTAACAATTCATCCTAGTCGTTCGTTTCGTGATATTAAACATCGTTTGGATGCGTATAAGTGGCGCACATTCAAATTTCCAAAATTATGTGGTCACATGCTTAAATTAAGTCTTCGCTTCTTCGATGAAGAGTAAAAATATCAGGTAATATCACAGACGTCAGCAATGATAAAAAAGACAGATGCCTATCACATGCGCTTCAACATCATAAGCAAATCGTCAAAACGGCGAAACAACATGCATACAAAAAATACATATTATAATTCCGCAGGTCTGCACTTTTTCACTACTTCAGCACACGGTACACATTTGCCAGCGGTACACCGTGTTTTGTATTTAAAAGCTATATAGCTATATTTAAAAGTATTTCGAAAGCTACCATAAATAAAAAGTACCTGGTGTTCGAATATTCGTCCTAAACATGATTCCTTCCCAGGTGAATAACAATATTTATCATTATATAAACCAATGCAGATATTTGTTCCCAGACTTAACCTGACATCGACGTGACTTTTTAGACCTACGTATGGAAAATTTACCACAAAATCCGTCTCGAACATTCCTTAGGAAGTTTGACGAGAAGCCAGAAATCTGCATCCCCCCTCAGTGCTTCGTGTATTCATCTCAATACTTCAAGAAGTCCGGTTAAAAAATATGCGCACAAAACGCACATTAACCAATTTCAAACGGAAAAAAAACTTTCACCAATCACACGCAAAGCCGAGACGAAACTTCATCTGTCATTCAACTGTATAAATGATAATGTGAATTTACCACGAGCACAGAGTAGCAACTAGAGATGTCAATCGGATACCAACATTTTGGTATACTGATACCAAACCGATACCAACTTGGTATTTGGTATTTCAATCCCCCTATATTTGATATTTTGTTGGTATTATGAACCCATACTAATATATGACGCAGATAAATTGGTATAAATTTGGTATTTGCCTCATGTTCCTAGGTTGGTTCGGTTTCGATATTTCTCACGGTTTTGGTTGGTATTTTGTTTGGTATCGGTACTCTGGTTTTCTATAATTGACATCAATAGTAGCAACCAACAGCGCAGAACTAACATGCTCGGTCCGAGCTCAACTCGGCAGATGTCAGCTTACACCGCGCCGAACAGTTTCACAAACGGCAAATTACCGAGGTTACCACAATCACGAATATGAATGATCATTATGATCTGAATGATCATACAAAATACAAATACTTGTAATTGTAAGAAGTGTTGCCCGCATTTGTAATTGTAAAGAAGTGTTGCCCGCAAATCGTAGTCACTTATGTTCACAATAAAGTAATTGAGGTCTGATGCGTGAAATTCATGGCATGCGAATCGGTAACCAGTAATATCGCGGTAGGGGAAGACAACAGGTCATGTATAATGTGCAGAAAAGCCCGCCAAACAAATACATCGTCATGCATCATGTTACGAATGCTAGTCAAAAATCGCCGGAACTATCGTTCTCATACATACGGCCACAGGAGAGGGGGGATGAACGTCACAATGAGCAGTTGCACAGCAAATGGATCGTACAATTATCAGTTACACTTTGATCATAACGAACTTTACCTAGCACCGGTATAATTCCTCCCCGCTTGCCGCTCTTGTCTGTCATCTGATGATCCTCACAACTATTTCAATGATGAACTTCATCACCCCGACCCGCACTCTATTTCCACCGAAGTGTTCACTCCATGCAGCACTGTCAATCCCGTGACAGAAGGTGCCGCGCCGACCGTCCGCCGTCACGCCACCATGCCTCCATTAACCTTTGGGTGACAATCCACGATTAACTGTAACTGGTAACTGTAACTGTTAACCACGGTTTAACCACGGTAACTGTGCCGCCTCCTTGGGGCACGCTTATTACCCTACAGCCCGCACCGGGGCCGCCGATTTGAATCCGGTCATCTTTCTCCCCGCTTAAGCAGGGACTTCCACACTGCAACTTCGAGCTGTGTCGCCGGTCTTGAGCACAGGGCCGACTGGCTATCCGTAGTTTTGCAGATGACTGGTGGGTTCCCCCTGTTCATCCTCTGAGTGGTCCAGCGGCCCGCGCAGCGTTGCGACGAGGTCCACCATCTCGGTTCTGTAGCTGCAGCATGTGACTGGCCCGCCTGAGCTCCTCGACGTCGGCCCGCGGCCCGAGAGAGAACAAGCTGGGCCGACTGGCCGAGCTAGGCTAATTGCACCAGGTCCATGCCGCCGGCCGGTGCCGTGCATGGGGCCTCTGGACTGGGAGATGATCGGATACAGCGAATGCTGCCACCGCCGCCCCAGGTGAGCTACACGTACCACCGCCACTCCACCGGTCCGCTAGGTAAGCCCTGCCACCGACGTGGAAAGCGAACTGTAACGCACAGGGAACGAAACCCATCAACAATCGGTGTAGGGGAGGGGATAACATTGCACAAGCGGACAGGAAACAGCACTGATATAGCATCTAGATAAGGTTAAGTGGTATAAATGAAAGACACACACACACGCACGCACGCACGCACGCACGCACGCACTTACGCACGCACGCACGCACGCACGCACGCACACACGCACGCACGCACGCACGCACGCACGCACGCGGTGCCGGAAGTCTGAGTCGCCCAAATCTTACCGACTCCGGATCGGTGTCAATCCACTCCTGATCGGTGTCAATATAGCATGGCCCAAGACACTAAAACGTTCGTTGATGCTTCAAAGCCAGATTTGGTCGTAGTAAAGACAAAGCTTACGTTTTGAACAATCCTTTTCAGTTAAAATCAGAAACAACACTTGTGCCAGAACCTCTTCATAGCTCTGCACATTACTTTAAAACATATTGCAATTTTAGGTCTTGCAATCTAAGAGCGTGCAAAGAATTGTTGCAGGCAAGATGAAACATTTCTGACAAACCCGGAGTCAGTCATCAAATCGTCCATCGACTCTGCACACCTGTCAGTAGTTGTGTCGGTTGTAAAATGCACAAAGGTGTTTCAAAGTAGCTACAGCAAGCAAAAGACTGGCTCATCAACCTGACCTACCCGCGTGACTTTCATGCTGCTGAGCTGACGTTTGTCATCCATGCTGCCGCCGGCCGCTCCAGCAGCCCAGTCGCGAGTGTACGATCCGCAGCTCTGCGTTGGCCCGGCTTCAGCTTCACGTTCTGAAAATGGGATCCATTTCATATCAATTCATTGCTGATTGAGGATTATCAATGGACAGGTGACATATTATAGTGCATGTATGGCCTAAACTTTTGAATTCATTTAAAATTTTTTCAATTCACGCATTTTCTTGCGTTTTTTTCCCCTTTTAAATGAATTCAAAAGTTTAGGCCATACATGCACTATAATATGTCATTGCTGATTGTGATGGTTCACCCTTGCCCGCACATGCCATTTTCCCATCCTAGAGCGCACATGGGGGTGGTTGCCACCCCCTCGCCATTTCGTTCCTGTTGGAGATAGAGCTTAGCGGTGAAGACCAAAAAGATTCTTTGGGAAGAGAAAAATCCAATGATACCCAGTTTTACCTTCTCAGGTCAGTCATTGAACTTCCAGGTCAGGCCAAACTAAAAAAATGTTGCTGTTTTGGGTCACCGTTGGATATCAAGTGCGCTGCTTATCATATACCGACGACGATGCTGTTTTCTGCTGCCAAGCCAGCTAGAACCTTTTTGTCACACTACCCGACCAGATTTTTGCTGCTGAGGTCATTTCAGGTCAAGTTAGGTCAAGGTCTATTATATGTGTTTGTATGTCTGTGTGTGTCTGTGTGTATACTGATGTGTGCACCGATTTTTTGTGTGTCCATATTACATAAAATCATGATCTGAGAAGTTTTTACCAAAAATGCAGTCATAAAACTCCACGAAAAGTAAATTCAGCTTGCCTAAAACGCAATTATCTTAGATGACCTAGGTTGACCTTGACCCTGACCTTGACACCTGTACATCGTCGAACAACATGTTCGATGATAGGTGGGAGGTAAGACTGGCAAAAAAGGCCGAAATCAAGGTGTCAAAAGCTCACAAGGCCCATGGCAAACGCAAGATGTTGAGAATTGGCCATTTGGGTCATGACGATCTGAAAAACAAGGTCATGTCTCCGAAACCAAAAATCACAGAAGCTTGAAATTTTCGGTAGATATTAAGAAAGGATAGAGCAGCAGCTATACGAAAAATCAGCCTTCTAGCTTAAAAAATGTTGAGTTCAGAGCAGAAAGACTAGCTGGGGGGAAGGGAGTGGCAACCACCATGTGCGGGCAAGGGTTAAGGTGGGATGGTCACCCTAAGCAATACTGCTATCGAGGGGATTGAGAGCGCGGACGACCTGACAAAACAAGCGGCCGCCTTGTCCTTAAACGCCCACTCACTGACCAGGGCGGTTCACTGTGCGGCCACGCAGGAATGGCGCGACAACTGCTCAGAATCACTATTCAAGCCACTCCTCGGGAGCACGTCGCCGCTCCCTATCCCCGGAGCGGACCAAGAGGATGCCGTTTCGGTGCACCAGATAAGGGCGGGCCACTGGAGCCGCTCGCTCCAATAAGGCACCGAATCGGCTGTCTCAACTCCGCGGCGTGCCAGCAGTGCCTAGACAAGCGGTGCCCCGCGGCGCAGAGTGTGCCGAGAAGAGGGTGATGTGCCGGAGCACATGCTGCTCCGCCGTTATTAACATCGGCACAAATTTGTGGCCCCGGAGCTCACGGCTCCAGCTTTGTTTCACGGCATGAAGCAAGAGTGTGCTAACACTATTCAGGCATTGGGTTTCTGTGGAAATGAAAAACTCATTCGGACGCTCAAACATGGGAGAACATATAAGGCCCCGCCCCCGGAACACTCTGTCTGGTTCATATAGCCTTGATCGGTAGATGTGCACACTGCACATGTGCTTTATATAAAAAGGCCTTAATTTTCGCACAAATAGGCACCTAATTTTTGGCTCAAATCACACAAAAATTTCAGCGCAAGATCGGTTGCGCCAAATTTCGGCGCAAGAGGGTCTCACGGGCGTCCGGCGTAGTGTATGAATGTTTTCCAGTCTGGCCAAGAAGCCCCTACGAACCTGGACTAGGATGATAGGACCAGGTCTTCACAACTGAATGTCTATGGATTCAGCAGGAATTCCCCACACTCAATAACAATGCTTGACCACTGGCGGATCCAGGGATTTAGCACGGGGGGGGCATATCAAGTCACGGAGCCAGACCTAGGGTACCCCCAAATCCCATTTTCTCATCGGACTTAGGCCACTTTATTTTCGTCATAGCCCTGACACGTGTTTTTTTCTAAAAAACAAAAAACAAAAATGGTTCGACACCTGACCCCCATTGGCAGATCCAGGAGGAGGAGGCTTTTGGGACAAATACCCGGGCAGCGCCAGAAATCGACGAAAATTGGTGGGGACGTTGGGGCCCTCAGCCCCTCAGAATGACGGGTGTATAGAGCCGACCCGGGGCCGCCGGTGTGGAACCTTAAGAGGTACTGGCGTGGGACCATCAAAGGTATCGGTGTGGGTTCCCCAGAGGCAGTGGTGTGGGGCGCTCAAAGGCACTGGTGCAGGAACCACAAAGGAGCCGGTGTGGGCCCTCTAAGGTGCTGGTGTGAGGCCCTCACATGGACGTCGTTGTGGTGCCTCAGACACTGGTGTGGCGCTAAGCCCACACCATTCACAGATGGCTGTGTGAGGGGCCATTGGAGTTGTTTGTGCGAAATGCGAATGCTTAATAATCCAGTAGGACCTCTCAGAGACCGACAAAGGGCCCTCAGAGGCCGGTAACAGGCCGTATGATGCCAACAATGGGCCTTCACAGGCCGGCAATTGAGGGCCGGCAGTATCTTCAGGAGCCCTGTGGGATCCTTAGAGATCGGCATGGTCCTCTCAGACGCCGGTGGGGCCCTCAGAGTCACCGGTGTAGGACCTACAGAGTTTCCAGTGGCTGGCTGCCAGAGGCACTGGTGTGGGGCCCCAGAGGCGCCGGTGTGGGACCCTGAGTCGCCGATGATGTGGGCCTCAGGAGACACTGGTTTCTCAGAGGTGGCGGGTGTAGGGCCCTCAGACGCGTCTGTGTGGTGCCCTCACAGTCGCCGGTGAAGACTTTCAAAGGCATCGTTGTTGGAGTCCTCACTCCTCAGTCCCCAGAGACACATGCATCTGGGCAAGGGGTCTTCAAGAGACCAGCAAGGGCCAGCAGAGGGTTTCAGTTGCCTTGCGGGATTCTGGAGACCGGCGTGGCACTCTCAGGCGTCACTGGGATCCCTCAGACTCACCAGTGTGGGGCCCACATAGTGCAGGTAGGTAGCCGTCAGATGCGCCTGTGAAAGACCTTCAGAGGCGCCAGTGTGGGGCCCTCAGAGCCGCCGCATATGTAGGGCCTTAAGAAATATTGGTGTTAGTCCCTCAGATTGGCGGTGTTGGGCCCTCAAAGGCGCCGGTGTGAGACCCTCACAGGCGCCGTTATGGGCCCTTAGAGACACTGGTGTGGAACTGTGGAGCCGTTCCATGCGGGTGGGCCAGGACCCTAATTAGAGCTGACGCTTAATAGGTCAGCAATGTCACTCAGAGGCCAGCACAGGGCCCTCAGAAGCCGGAGTGGGGCCCTTATGGAGATGTGTGATGTATGATGTGATGTGTGATGTGACTCAGGAGCCCGTGACTCTGTGAGGTGCCCTCACGAGGCCTGCGGGTCTTATCTCAGTCGAAATAAGGCACGCTTAGACCCTGAGCGGCCAATTGGCACTGCAGGGCCTCTCGGGCCCATAGGGCACCATGCATCTAGTGAGGCGGCACGCGCCCCTTGTGCCGGCCCCCCCCCCCTCCCCGGTTACGCTGCACTGGCTGCGGCCATACAGGTAAATCATATTCTAACCATCCCTATTCCCAAGCATAGGCGGCGGCCGATTCCTGCATGATTTGCGCAATATGAGTGCCATCGTTAGACAATACGGTCAAAAGGGTTGAAGCGGCATGACTCCCCTGTGGTTAGAACTAAGAAGCAGCATATTTTTAGACAAAATAAAGCAATGACAACTAAATTGAGGTTATTAAAACCAGTGGCGCGGGAACCGGGAGGGGGTCTAGAGGGGGCTGAGCCCCCCAGCCGAAAAGCTGGGGGGGGGCTCGTAATGTATTTGAGCCCCCCCCCCCCCCCAGCTGGAGGAATCGAAATCGGAAATCTACCAACATAATTTCATAGATTCATACATAGGCGCGGGAACCGGGGAGGGGGCAGTGGGGGAAGCTTGCCCTCACAATTCTGCGGACGTGGGGGCGGTCCACACAACTTTTCATGAGGCCAGGAACCGTTGAGCAGCTTGTCCTTCCCAAATTAGGGTTGTGGGTCACATAGGAAGAAAGCATGTAAGTGAAAAATCCACCTCTTTCACTGGCTCGGCAACTCAGTTGACAGATTAAAACCTTTACTCCAGGTTGCCAAAACGGTAGTTTTTTTCACTCAGCTGAGACGGAATGCCTCACTTTTTGCATTTTTTCGTTTTTTTTGTTGTTGTTGTTGAAAAGACCAAAGTCTGAAAAATAAGTGGCCTAAAACCGGTGAGAAAACTAGATTTGGGGGTACCCTAGGTTGATCTCTATTATGGTTCAGCCCCCCCCCCCCCCCAGTCTGGAAGAAGTTCTCGCGCCGCTGACTAAAACGACTCTGATCACAAAAGTAGTTACTAGGAAGGTTTTCTAAACCATTTTTATTTAGTTCCTCGTTATAGGCGTAAGAAGTGTACGTAACGTAAGAAGGCGTAAGAAGGGCATACTTGTACTGAATGCCCTCCCCAGGCTCCTGTCTGGGGGAGGGGCATATGCCCCTAATGCCCCCCCCCCCCTGGATCCGCCAGTGTGCTTGACCATCCATTCCAATTTCACTCTAAGTCTTTCCTTCCATAGAATTACACTGATTGCTGATACCCCGCAAGAAAGCTTTATGCACGGTGATATAAATAACTATAAATAGCTTTATGCACTTGAGGCAAGGCCTAAACTTGAGCTGAACCAGGCTGAAGCACGGTCGACATTGCGGTTTAAGACCCATTTTTAAGTATTTCCGCAAATTTTACAGCCAAATTGGTCAATGCAATCGAATAACGCCTCCATTTCCAATCAAATAGATATGCTCACTGACACCACCTGCTTCAGATATCTCAATAAAATCACTTTTCTTCAGCCGTAAGCAGCCTGCCTCTTATCGTTTCACATCACATGTATGATATTTAGTGCTGTCAATT